AATAAACTTGTCTATGAATTGATTGTCTTTAAACTGAGGTGTCTATAAAATAATTTTCTATGAAATGATACGTACCCTACAGTAATAAATAAGAAATAAAAATAAAATTTAAATAAGATCTAAGAGAAAAAAAATCCAGATAGGTGTAAACGGAAATCATCTCGGCATTTTGCAATAAGTTTTATGCTCTGGTTAACTGTCAAATTCACAATTAACAATTTGCAAAATAATGCTTGAAAATATATGTTTTTACAATCATCGTCGCAGCTAATGCTGAAATCTAGGGCCTCAATTTGAAAATAAGCCCTGCTAAAATCACATATGCTCTTTAATTATCATTCTATCCCTAAATCCTAACCCAACTCTAAAAAAAAACACCTCTAAAATTTTTTAAAAATTCATAACAAAATAGGTTTGAATTTCAGCATCAGCGTGACAATTTTTTACTACGAATTACACTATCGTTGATCTATTAATGATTTTCACTACGTATGTAAATAGGCTTCCAATCTTTGATCAAATTTTGTAGATCACAATTAGCGTTGGCAACTTAATTAAATTTAAACGCTAAAATAATTTACTTTACAAAAATATTAAGTAATTACAAAAAATTGCAATATGTCGATGATAATTAAATTTTGAATTATAAAAATTATAAAAGCAAAAATTATTACAGTAATTAAATAATTGATATATAATATGATCAATTAAAACTACCAACGATACAGTAAACGATTTTTATTATACTGAAATTTCTAATATGATCGATGAATCGACCTCTACAAATTTAAACTAGGGACCCCAGATTATGCGATTTGAAAAGCATTTTTGTGTGAAGTGATAATTTCAAACTGTGCGATATTTACGCGAGGAACCATATACATATTTCGTATTAGGGGGGTTTCAAAATTATCAAATAAGTGACCATTTCGAAAATAAGTAGGATTTTTTCAATAGCATTTTTACTATGATGAATTATAAATCGGAAAAATAAAATAAGATTCGATGATTTTAATTTTGAAACCTCCTATTGTTATAATTTTGAACTATCATTGTATAATGTGATAATTATGGATTTAAAGAAATTTAGCAATTATATACATATGCTTTTATTATTCGTTTAAAATGCCCGCATAAATCTCGTAAAAACAATACATAACAATTAATCACATTTTATGCGCTTATTATGCGATCGCATATGTCCATGGTCTCTAAATTTAAACCATCTCAAACTGAAACATATTCAAAAAATAAAATAGGACAATGAAACGAAAAAATGCAGGTCGTCCAAAAGAAAAAATTTGGAATTATTGCATAACAAGGAATCAAGGAATGTTACTACGTAGTGACCGTAGTGCAACTTGTCCTTATTGCTCAAAATATTGAAGCTATGGACGTCCTGCAGAAATGGAAGCTCACCTCGCGGAGATTTGTTCCGATGTTCCTAAAAATATAGAGGAATATTGGCAAGATTTTCTTTCAGATAAGATTATTAATTACAAGCGAACAAAAGTGATTTATAATTATATTAGTAACTAAGTATTTAATTATAATATATAAAATGGTGCAATAGATTTTAATAATGTTGATAATATATATAGTTAATATTTACTGTAATACGTAAATGTAAATGCTTTATCGTGCGTAATTCAAATAAATCCTTATTAAATAATTCAAAAGTTATTAAAAATACAAATATATTTTTTTGTTTTGGAATTTAGATTCTATAATACTAATTAAGTTGGCAATGCTAATTACAATCAATCACAAGGTTGCATTTATTAACTAAGGGTTCAATATAAACATAAGCTTGGCTAATCGTATCCGATATTTACTAAAACCATTATTTTCACAGCCATGCAAATTGACAATCAGGCGATTGTAGTTGATCTAAAGATAGCAAACCACGACAAATTAATCAATGACCGAGTATAGTAATTAATACAGGATTATCAATAGCCATATCGGGAATCCTATTTAACGTTAACAAAAATTTATAATACCTGTTACAGTTGTTATAATTTAGTATATAGCATTAATTCATACGTGCATGTCATGTGCTACGACAGCTACTGAAACATTGGGTGCAAGATATGTCTGTGATTACAGGATTAAAGTTTTAATGCTGTCACCAGTAGCAAGTTTTCGAAACGATCTGGTTTACACAACGAGTTTGCTATTGGCTACAAGTATATATATGAGATACAAGTGGAACACGTTTCAGTAGTGTATATTCCATATTAATTATACATGCAGTTTTAGTTCAGTTATCCTTTATAAAATTCTACTTTTATGCTCATTAAACATACCGGATCCGTTCGAGTCTTTCTTGAATTATCACCAATTACCCTTCACGTAAAGTGCTTCGTGTATATTAGCTAAAGAATAGATATATCTACTGTACTCGATATCTCCTCTCATTGATCATTTAATACATCGAATGATTAATCCTACGCGTCATACTTATACACGCGTAATGATCTCGACGTTAAACGTACATATAAGGTTAAGTATGTATGAATAACCAACTATATAATCTCAAAAAATACTTTTAAATTTTAATTTAGGTATGAATGCCGATATTTGATCAGTTCCGATTACATGACAATATACCAAGCTTTTATCGTGATTGACTAGTTTTTGTAAATCTCATTAATCAACCAATTAATCAAATCGTTAGATTTAACAACTGAACATTTGATATAGTAAAGAATTTGAAATTATCCCTTTATGACCGCTTTACTGAAAAATTGATGTGCCTTCCGTAAGACACGTTATAAGCAATTTTTTATAACAGTATAAAATAAAATTAATATTCATGGAGAACATAATATTTTGTTATAGTCAATGCAATTTATTGATGTAATTGATGTTTAATATTAAGTGAATTATCAATTATATAACATGTAAAAAAGATTGTAATGCTATGGAATTTTTACCTGCAAAATTCCTTTTAACATGAATATAAAAAACAAAAGAAACAACAATAACAATAATAATAATAATAATAATAATCATAATAATAGTATTTTTTTTTTTTAAGCTAATTGTGAAAAAATTTATGTATAGTGTTTCTAGTAACTTTATTTCCTGTAAAGACTCAGACCCTGTTGTCAACTATTGATTCTGCTGGTTTTGTGGTCGAAGCAGTAGTTGATATGGTGGTCTATTCAGTGGTTGATTTAGTGGCACGTTCAGTGGTAGATTTTGTGATCCATTCAATGGTCGATTTTGTGGTATATTCAGTGGTCGATTTAATGGTACATTCAGTGGTTGATTTTGTGGCAGATTTTGTTGTTGAATTCGTTGTTGATATGGCTGTGGCATCGGCATCGGCATCGGCATCTGTTGAATCTGTTGAGATTGGTTTATATTTTTTCCATCTGCATTAATCACATATGTAGGCACAACAGCTGGTGAAGTGGCAAACATTTGTGATTGTTGAATAGTTTGAATTTGTTGTTGCTGTTGAATTGATTGAATTGGTGGTTGTTGAATTGGCCGTTGAACCTTTATAATATTTTGCTTAACAGGTTGGATTTGATTTACCAATTGAGGTGTTGCTACCGGAAGAACGGGAACAATTTTAGGTTGCATTTGTGTCGATCCGATCATATTATTATTATTAAGATAAACTACGTTGCCAGACGGAATTTGAGGAACAATCGGCCGCATTGTATATGCATTAACAGGATTTACGACTGAGTTATTGACGTAAATTGGCTGTGGATTAGGATTGTTCACATACACATACTGTGGTGGTGGAGATGGGGGTGGTTTTTGGACTACCGGTTGATGTGGTGCCGCATATATGATTTTTTCTCCTTCATCAAATTGGGCATCTGAATCTGGTTGTGCAGCAGGAATATCAAAACTCTGTTCTTGAACACTAGGGCTCTGTTGTTGAATAACAGGACTCTTTTGTTGAATAACAGGACTTTGTTGTTGAATAACAGGACTTTGTTGTTGAATAACAGGACTCTCTTGTTGAATAACAGGACTCTTTTGTTGAATAACAGGGCTCTTTTGGTGAATGACAGGACTCTTTAGTTGAATAACAGGACTTTGTTGTTGAATAACAGGACTCTTTTGTTGAATAACAGGGCTCTGTTGTCGAATTACAGGGCTCTGTTGTTGAATTACAGGGCTCTGTTGTTGAATTACAGGGCTCTGTTGTTGAATAACAGGACTTTGTTGTTGAATAACAGGACTTTGTTGTTGAATAACAGGACTTTGTTGTTGAACAACAGGACTTTGATATTGAATAGGAGGACTTTGACGTTTATTATCAGGACTTTGATTTTGATTGTTTGGAATAGATGGATTTCTGTTATTAGAGTTTCGGTTAGGGTTTCGATTGTTAGGGTTTCGGTTATGATTATTCATATGATTTATGTTATTATTAGTTTGTTTCATATTGTTATTAATCTGACTTATATTGTTCGTGTTATTGCTAATCTGATTCATATTATTACTAATGTCATTTTTAAAGTCCATATTGCTAATAGATGATTTTTCATTTACTATAAAATCTATCGGAACGTTTGTTGGAACAGATTGCGGATAATAATTTAAGGTCTGAATTTCTCTTATCTTCTCAGGTACTTGTTCAGCCCCAAAACTTTCTTCAAATGATGGCGGTGGTGGGAGATCTTCAACATCTTTTGCTGCTATATTCATATTGCTCATTTTATGTGTTAACTTTTTTATTTTCTTCTTTTGTTTGTAATCTGGATTTTCTTCCAAGAACTGTTTTTTGCATTCTAAACTACACCAATTCACTCTTTGCCCGTATTCAATCATTCTTGGATAACATTCACATATTTTACATGCTTCGACCAATTTTAATTTTACCGCTTGTTTTTGACATTTTTTTGAACAGTATTCAGATTGCTGGTTCGTATCTGGGTCTATGCGAGCCGGTTTTTCACATACCAAGCATTTGTAGTTATTTTTCATGACTTGTGTGTATAAGGAGTTTTAGGTATAATATAAAAATATTTAAAGGTTGTCGTTCAAAGTCCTTCGTACGTAAAAGATTGAAATTTAAAAAGAATGTTCGTTGTATTTGTAAATATAATGTATTTGTGTGTGTGCTTATATAGTAGGTACGTACGTACTGTATGCTTGGTGATGTTACGCAAACTGTTTGGTACATAAGAATTTAGTATCATATGATTTTTTATCACTTAACGTTAACGTCAATGAATTATTTAAATTCAAAGTTTTGTTTGAGATAAACGTTTTAGATGTCTAACTCTAATTGAATAATGCTAATTTTACGCATAGCGTTATGGTTCATCAACCCTTTGATACTCGTTTGATCACTTCTCCATATGGTTCGTATATAGACAATTGAAAAATAAACGGAATATTTTGTCCGATTGTTATATTACTTATATATTACCAGTGCAGATTGTACGCCGAACTATCCAATTAATTAATAATCAAAAATTGATCATATCATGTGATTTAGGCCAATCAAATTGTTAATTTTTTATAAAATGAAGTCTTTGCAAAGCATGTGCGTAAAGATTTTTCTAGAGATACTACTTTTAGTAAAAACGTCACATCTCATTTATGCGTCATTTTTCAGCAAAGACAGTGGATGTTACACCTCAATTGATTACGAATTTGTTTATATTATTTTACATTACTTCCTATATGCCTTATTCTTTCTAAGAAATGTAATAAATTTTTTAAGAAAATAGCTCACAATTGGCTTTATAACATCTTTCTTGAATCTTTATGAATCCCAAAATTTTGTAAATCGGTAATTTGATTGGTCAATCAGTCATGTTATACAATGAGAATTAAGTTTCAAATTTCCTTATTTGGGTGATCTCCATAAACTGTAAAATTTTTACGAAGCAAAAAAAAAAAAACTAAAGTACAAGAAATAAATAAGTGTCTAAACCTCTCTCTTGGGGCATTAACAAAATTGTCGGGAGAGCAATTTTACCTCTAACTCTTGCTTAATCTCTAACCTTTGAACAACCCTAACTCTAATTTTAATTGCTTCGTTGTAGCATCCTTCTAAATCAATTAATTAATATTTGTGTTCAAATATACAAATAGTTATTTTTTTCTATATTAAAATATAATTAAATAATTTTATAATTTTTTAATAATTTGCTAATAGTTACCAATATAGCCAAGTTGAACCAAATATATAATTTTTAAAAAATAATATAGTAATAAATAAATAAAAATAAGCAAACAAAGAAAGCTGCCAAAAAAATTATTGGTAATACGCTAAGCAAATTTAGTAAGAGATTCTAGCAACATATCTAGAACCTTAGATATAAAATACAAAACAAATAAGAAAAAAGAAAAAGAATTTTAAGATAAACAAGAAGAAAAAGAAAACAAAAAAATAAGATAAAAACTTAAAATAAAAAAACACAGTAAATAAGATTAGAATCTAAAAATCAAGAAAAAAGAAAATTACAAAGTTACTGCTCTTAAGAATATCAAAAATCTGATATAATAATAAAAAGCCAATATGGTTATATTTAGTAAAATATAAAGTAGATCTTGATATAGCAATAAAAAATAGTACTAACAAAGCATATACTGTAGCTACTAGCCTATAACTAAAAAAATAAGTTCTTGATAAATTAAAGATCTAATAAAAAGCTAATAGTTATTAAGACAGGTGCAAACTAAATAAGTTATTTATTTAATTAGATAAATAATAGCTATAAATAAAAATTTTTTTATAATTTTTTAAATAGTTTAAATTTTAAATAAATAAAGATAGGATTGTTGAATTATAAATTAAATAAAAAAATAAAATTTAATTAATTTTAACTACTGGTTAAAATTATAAATTTTAACCACTCTTTATTTTTAATATAAATAAATTAAAGTTAGATATAGGTTATTTATATGCAAAAATAGGTGCTAAAAACTTTTACTTAATATCCCAAAGCTAGTTTTTAAAATAAAATTTAAATGTTCTATAGAATAGATAGACAATATAAGAAATAAGTTTTGCTAATAATTAGTAATTATTAATTTTTTAATATCAGAGTTGCGAAGTTGGTGGAGTTTGCCCACCTATTTATAGAATATTCTAAAATTTTATAATATTAATAATTTTTGGTTAGCAATATTCATAAAAATAATATTTATAAAAATTTTAATATTATAAAAAGAGAATTGCTAATCTTAATAGGCTGTGAAATTCACAGCTCTGCATCTGACCAATCAAAATTGTAGAATTAGCGCAATCTGCAAATTTTCTTTGTGTAACAAAAACAAAGTATTTTTTACGAAAAAAATAAAAAATTACTTATAACATAAAATTTAGCTTAAAAAACTGCCAATTTCTTACTAAATTTTTACTATAAAATTCATTATTTATTATAACCTTAACTTAAATAGAAAACTTTTTTTGAAGTAAACTATAGTAAATTTAATTGGCTAAATGCAGACCTGTGAATTTCATAGTTTGTGAATCGTAGTAAATTTCTTATAAAAATTATATGATTTTTTTTTTACTTTAGAAGTTTTATTAATAATTTTTTATTTTAAATTAATTTGTATAGTATTACAAAAAGTTTGCTATAAGGGTGTGGTGGTTTGGTGAAGTTGATAAGTTGTTACACCCCTAAATAGCAGAACAAGAGTTTAAATCCTATTGGTGACAAAATTCGAATTTTACAGAATAAGTTATAGTAGATTGTGTATAATCTGATGGATCAGTAAGATCTGTAAACTTGGTTGCATCAGAGCTTACTGAGAGGCTATAAAACATTAGTGTAATGCATGAGTTATATGAAACCCAAGTGAAGCAGCCAAGTTAATCCAGATATTAGAACTATAATGCACACAGAAGCCTACTTGGCAAGTTTTAAGTAGAGAGGTAGTACATATCTTTGACAATATTATATAAAGAACTATTTAAAAAATCTGAATACCGATTTCAATAACTTGAACAAGAACCGATGTTTAACAAGACATTATATTAACCAGGCTGCTAGAGGAATACTAGAGGAAAAGAACCTAACCGTAGGGACCAGAGACAGATTACAGTCCTTCTAAGCTATCTGAAGTAAAAGTTTAGATTACTAACAGAACTTAGGTATCAGTGATAATCTGTATAGTGGATACTGGGGTTTGGGTAAACTTTGCAAAGACACAGAGTAAATAATGGTAGCAGAAGTAAAAAAGTTGCAAGTACTTGGTCTCGGTCTAGATGCAAGTTACTGAAAAATCTAGGTAATACATGTGTGGGACATGAACTGTTCTAGTAGATTTATCACAAAAATAAAATAGTCCTAAGGGCCACAGCAGCAGTTTCTCTTTGGTGAGAATATTTGACAGTGCTAAATTGATCAGAGGGTTTAATTGAATAACTCAAGTAATAGTGAATTACAGATACAGCATTTAGTGTAGAATATAGTAATATGCAAATTCTACTTAATTAGGTACTCAAAAGGTGCAGATATAGCTAGAATGTACTCTCGTTAATGTAACAAAGTTAGGAGTGGCCCTGTGGCTACCTTGGTATTCACAACTGAAGTTAATAAATATGTCAAACTCCAAAGTGATCACCTTAATATTAAAAAAAAAAGTTTGCTATTTATTACTACTGATAATCATTACCAGTCAACATTAGAACCTAAATAAAAAATAATTTAATATTAAATATTATTAAATACAAACCTTGCTATAACATATACCACTATTAGTATTATAATCATCAAATTCTTCTTCACTCATATTAATTGACACATTACTAAATGAAGGTTTACTATAAAATCTGCTCACTACTCTAATATAATCACCTGAAATAATAGTAGCATAACTATACCAAGAAATCTTTATATTGTTCATAACCATCTTTTCGGTTATATCATTACATAAATTAAAGAAACTATTTAATACTAAAATAAAATTCTCTAAAGCTATTAAGACTTCCTTAGCCAAAGTATTATTTTTTTTATAAGTATTAAAGAACTCATCAAACTGATTTAAATAATATACCTCTATTAAGCCACCCATTAAGATTTGTTTATTTTTTTTATTTTCAACCTTATTTGAATGCAAATATTTAATTATTAAGTTATGGTAAATATATTAATTACAATAAAAAATTAAAACTTGACATATTGAATGCACTATTCAGCTGTTATTTAATATGCTATTCAATATGTTTGATCAAATAACATGTTGAATAGCATATTGAGTAGTAGTGTATTTAATATGACAAATTTTTTAATTCCAACTAGTGCTAATAAAATACTAACAGTTTTAATCATTTGTTCTGTTGCTCTATATTTATTGCTAGCCTGATAAGAATTCTTTACAAGGCTTTTATGTAAAAACTCATAGATTTCAGTTACAAATCTATTAATAGAACCATACTCTTCTATTGCTAAAATAATATGATGACACCAATTGTATAGCTTTAATAGTTAAAGACCCAAAACTAAATATTTTAAAAAGTTTTAAAAAAACTGTCGTCTAATATATAATTAAATTCTAATAATAAAAAGTTATAATATAATAATAATTAGCAAAAAAATAATTCTAATATATATAATTTCTGATATATAATTAATAACATACTTTAAATTCTACAAGATCAATTTCTGTAAAGTACTTTCTTCTGTTAAATAAATATATCTTATTCTAATAATAATAGACACTAACTAAGTCTTTATTATATT